AATTGCAAACGCCCCGGCCGCTGTTAACTCACCCAAGCAACAGCGTGTGCGTCATTTGTTACATTTATTATTGTATTTTTGCACACCCTGTAAGATCAAACGAGGGCATATAATACTTAGAAAAGTGTTTGTATCAGGCGTAACTATAGAAGCAACATATGTAGAAAATCTATTTCTATATAATCCCAACTATCTCGGGAACTATAAGAGCTAATGTCGAAAATTTCGATATGCAGTTTCTCTTTACCATATTCAGAACTAATTTTACGTCAAAGCTCTCATGATTCCTTATCTATATGAGCCCAACAAACTCGGGAACCATTTTAGATTGAGTCAAGATATTTGATAAGTCCAGGCTCTAGTTTTATGCATAAGTTCATTTGAGCAGGTCAGTTTGATCTTTTATCTCTGTTAGCTCAACAATCTCGGGAACTATTATAGATAGAGTCAAACAACTTAAATTTTTGCATATGATATTTTATCCAAGTCATTAATTATTTATTTATATAAGCTCAACAATCTCGGCAACTCTTAGGTCTAGAGTGAAAAATGTTATATGTAATTTCTTGGCATATTCCAATTAACTTTTAAATCAAAGCTTTGATATTAGGTTAAGTTTGATCTTCGAAGGTAAATTTGAACTCTCAAAATGTAGTATATAGTAAATAAAAACACAGAATTCATTCAACCAATTAATCTTTAATTCTAAGCAAAGGTAAGCGTTAAGAGAAAGAATGTTGTAAATCAAATCAAATGTATAAACGTTTCTTAGCTTAGCAAAGCTGCTTGTACAGGGCATCTTCTAGGCTATAATACGCAACTTGAACACACTTAAAGTGTGTGTTTTTTATGTTTCGATCTAAACGGATTTGGTTACCCAGCACTGTTGTTCGCCTGGAGAAAATTAAACTTTTCGCTTCGCTTTTGTGCAAAACACAAAAACATTTTATGCACTTATGACACTCGCAACGCCCCCTTCAACCCAAAAAAAATCCCAGAGAGAACCACCCGATAGCCACCCGCTAGCCACCCTCTAATTGGCATTGCACAGCCCTTTTTTCCTCCCGGCACTGACTTTGTGCGTGGACCGAGCCCAGTTTTTATTGTAATCATAGCTTTGCTCTATATTGGCTTCATTTTTAGTTACTCAGCTGTTTCCCCAGTTTTTTCCTGTTTTTTTTTATTCCTCCCATTGCAGCATTTGGAGGGCAGTTGCAACAAATGTTGCTGGGGTTAATGTTCCGGGTCTGGGTGTATGGTTGGGTTGGGTTTTAGTATCGTATTATTGTTGTCACGTTTTTCACATATTTCATAAATTCAGGCATATTGCTAATTTGTGCTCTACAATTTGTGCAAACGCAGAAATATTTGGTTAGAGCTCATTTCGACGTTTTTTATTGCATTTATTGGTTTCTATTTATCAAATTGGATTTTCAAATGGGATTTATTTCAGACAGCGAACTGCAGCCTATTTGTGTTTATGCGATTTTGTGGTTGCATTGCGGCCGTAAACGGGATTCAAAGTTGGCAAACATTGATAATCCAAGGTCAACAAGCAACAGACTTTGGTAGCCACAGAAGTAGCTGTTGGTAAAAGGCGTAAGGTATTATAGAACTTATTTTTAAGTCGAGATCTGTTGAGTAGACAGCTGTGCGGATATAGAGAGGGAGAGAGAGAGAGAGAGAGGGGTAGGGAGAACGAGACGGAAAAAAAGAGAGAGACAAAGAGCGAGAGAGAGAGATAGAAATTAAAGTTTTAAGCGACCTTTCATAAGATCAAATTAAAAATGCATCTAGGACTCGGCGAATATAATTTAAAAAATATTTTAAAAATTATATGGTGATAAAAATTATACAAATAATTGGATTCTGTATCACATAAATAATTATTTTTATTTTATTTTTATTACCATTTAAAAATTTTTTGTAAAATTTTTTAAAATAAGAATTTAATAGAAAATTAATTAAAACGAGAAAGAAAGGCTATCTTCGGCACGCCGAAGATCTAATACCCTTGCAGACCCAACCTTTTCATAATGCTTAGAGTGCTTTGCCCGTATCTAAGAAGCACAGGAAAAATAGTTAATGCCGAGTTTGGTCAAGATATCTTGACAAACAAAATGTTTTTTCATACAAAAACTTAATTTTCAACCGATCGTTCCTATTGCAGCTATATCATATAGTGGTATATACTTCTATATGATATATACTTCTCGCCAAGGGCTTAACATATGAAAATATGATAATAATCCAAGCACTTGAATCTTTACTTTATTTAAGTTCCAGACAAAGGTTTGTAATACTTACATTTAACAAGATTCCAGGAAATACTGTAAACTACTTACCCGTTTTTACACATTCGTCTCAATATCACTTTTAGTTCTAAGACCTCTTCAGCTTGCAATCTGAAATAACAAAAACTCTTTGGGCTCTAGACAAGCGGCTGACCCCCATTGTACACACCCGACCCGCACCCCCTGACCCCCTCACTGAAGTGACTGCTGATTTATGCGGCTGCAACGTCAACAGTTTCTCAGAATACATCGATCTATTGCATTCCATGTAAATGACGGGGCCCAGCGACAGCCGCCAGTTGAGGTCTGCGTGTCCATTGACAGGAGCACGGCAAATGGAAATTCGGAAAAGGGCGAAGGCCCTGCAGCTTGCACTTCCTGCAACGTTTCTTTGTTGTTGTTGTTTCTGTAATTCCTCCACCGGCAGTCGCTAACAGAGCTGAGGTCCTGCGCCTATTTGACTGCCTGTCACAACAGCATGTTAATGTCCATGGCATATTAATGGCTTTTCGAAATTATCCTTTTGCCACATTGTGCATTAAAATGGACAAAAATGTATGCATTTCTCTGGCTGGTTTTCATATTATTATCATTATTATTAAGGTTTGGCATTGTTCGACCCTCTCGCTACCTGGTTGCAATCACAAAAATTAGTTTGGCAACCCTGGCACAGAACTTATCTTCAAATCTTGAGTCTCTGCAGCTCAATGTTTTGTTTCTGCCTAAGCCATTTGTCAGAGGGCGGCTTCAGATTGTAATGCTACACCCCAGAGATATGGGTGGAGAGATATATATATATATATATATATATATATATGTATATAGTGAGTACCCCTACCTATCATAGAAAGTGCGTGTTTCCAACACTTTGTTGCAGATTTTGTGCATTTATCATGCATGTGGTCGGTCGTTGGGTCGTCCATACTCCCAGGCTACGCGTTCGCAAAAGGGGAACGGGATGCGCGTGCCGTGGCATGTGGTTTGGGTTTTAGTATTAAATTGTTTTGCGGTTGCTCTGATAATCAGACAATCGTACAATACATTTTATTGCAGTGCCTTTTTGGCATGCCTCACCCACCTCCAACTCTCCCAAAGGTTACTCACATTTGCTATTTACTTAACTTTTGCTCATATATAATTTAAATAAAATATTTCCTACAATTTCGGACATTCGTCAGACTAACTACCAACATTTGCAATCTAAATGTAGCTTAATAGGTATGCCAAGTTTTATTTATAGTCAACATACACTGAACAAATTTTTTGACTGAGTTCAAAGAATATTCTGATCGAAAATGTTTTTACTTTTACTAAGAAGAACCTCCTATCCCTTAAATAAGATATAAACAAATTTATGAATTATTCAAGACTATTCTCAACGTTACCTATCATTTTTCATAACATGACAATGGACTCTAGGTACAACATCAAGAACGCGGTAGATTTTAAAGACAGAGTCAACAACTCCCAGATTAGAGAAGAGGAAACATTAGTATCTTTTGACGTAGTATCCTTATTTCCCAGCATACCAATAGAATTAGCACTTGACACAATAAGACAAAAATGGACCAAATTAGAAGAGCACACGAATATACCGAAACAACTATTTATGGACATAGTTAGATTTTGCATACAGGAAAACAGATATTTCAAATACGAAGACAAAATATACACACAACTTAAGGGAATGCCAATGGGATCACCGGCTTCCCCAGTAATCGCAGATATATTAATGGAGGAACTGTTGGACAAGATTACAGATAAATTAAAAATAAAACCAAGACTCTTGACCAAATATGTAGATGACCTTTTTGCCATAACGAACAAAATAGACGTGGAAAATATTCTAAAAGAATTGAATTCCTTCCACAAACAGATAAAATTTACAATGGAATTAGAAAAGGACGGGAAATTACCATTTTTAGACTCCATTGTAAGCAGAATGGACAACACACTCAAAATACAGTGGTATAGGAAACCCATAGCCTCCGGACGAATACTCAACTTCAATTCAAACCACCCAAAGAGTATGATAATCAATACAGCACTAGGCTGTATGAATAGAATGATGAAAATATCGGACACAATATACCACAAAGAAATTGAACATGAAATCAAAAAACTCTTGACCAAAAATGACTTCCCCCCAAATATAATCAAAACATTATTAAAAAGACGACAAATCGAAAGAAAAAAGCCAACAGAACCTGCTAAAATATACAAATCACTAATATATGTACCACGACTATCAGAACGCCTCACAAACTCAGACTGTTATAACAAACAAGATATAAAAGTAGCACACAAACCGACGAATACATTACAAAAATTCTTCAACAAGATAAAGTCGAAAATCCCGATGATCGACAAAAGCAACGTCGTTTACCAAATACCATGCGGCGGGGAAAACAACAACAAGTGCAATAGTGTCTACATAGGTACAACAAAATCGAAGCTAAAAACAAGGATTAGTCAACATAAATCGGACTTCAAACTAAGACATCAAAATAATATACAGAAAACAGCACTTATGACCCATTGTATAAAAAGCAACCACACACCAAATTTTGATGAAACAACAATCTTACAAAGAGAACAACACTATAACAAGCGACACACATTGGAAATGCTACACATAATTAACACACCAACCAACAAACGACTAAACTACAAGACAGGCACAGAAAATTGCGCTCACTTGTATAGACACCTCTTAAACAGCCAAACAACCTCAGTAACAATCTCCACGTCAAAAAGCGCAGACGTGTAAAATAATGTATGTAAAATGTTCGAAATAATGTTTAATTTATTGTATTATAATTGTTAATTGTTTTTTGTATCTTGGTGTTAGTGCCCTGAAGACGGTTTGCCGATGTGCAACCGAAATATATCGGAAGAAAATTAAAATAAAATTGTTTTCATTGTTTGTTTTAACAAACACGGACCTCGAGCCAGCCAACAAATAAATATTGAAATATGGAAAGGTCGCCAGCGCCATCAATAAATTTTACAACACTATTTTGTCTCTCTCGAACACATTCTAGAACGATTCTTAATTAAATAGTAAGAAACATAATAATTGCTTATGACTATAAGCAAGTTTCCTTTCACAGTTTTTTTAACATTAATCCATTGCTTTTCAACAATGTTTGTCCATCAATTCGAATTTTTGATTTGAACTTCGTACTTAATATAATCTTCACCATCAATTGACTAACATTGATTTCTTCGCTTTCACTTTTGTCACTTTTGCACAATCTGAACTTTTACAACACAGAAAACTGCAAATGACCCAACATTTGTATATTTGTAGTGGCCTCTACTTGCACCGTTATTGATCAAATTTTTAGTCGAAGAATTATTGCCAAAACCTTTGCCCACTCATAAAGCACAAACAGAGTCCGGCTGAGAGGTCTATGATAAATTTGGCACTTCCGCTTTGGTAACTAAGACATCGGCAGGCAGGCAAATCAAGTGAGGGTCCTGTCAGCCCCCTAAAAAAAGCAAAGAAAAATGCCTGGCAATGCATACGTCATTTAACCCCTTTGCGCCATATTTTTCATAAGCTGGCCCACTGGTGGGCTCTGCTGTGTTTGGGTACGTCTGCTGAATGGGGTTTGCCATTATTTGATGCCCTCACCGAAGGTATTATGACTTTTTCGGGTGCTGTGTAACGCACTTAGGGTGATTACATGTTATATTGAAGATAATTTGGATTGGGAAGATTATAATGAATATTTGTATATATTACGTAACATTGAAGATTTGCTTGTAATTCGCGCCAGCTTCACACAAGCCACTCAAGTTTATGACCGATGATCGATAACTTTCCCCGCTTCAAAACAATCGACACAAATCGATATCGAAATCCTAGGCTAGAGTTGCCAATTTTAACATGTAGCTTTTAACATATAATATACAGATCAAGTATCTTTAGTTTTATAGCAGAATTTTCAGGGTAGTCCCAAGTAGGACCCTAGCAACTAAAGACCTATTACCTTATTAGATTTTTTCCGTTGTAAAGAAATCAAACTGTGTTAAGCAAATATAAAATCTGCTGCTGAATTTGAACCAGTGACTTCTCGCGTGTTAGTTCGACGTTCAGATAACTTGTCACTCAGGCTCACGACATCACATTTGTAAAGCATATTTATATGGCTTATGTTGAAGTTTTGCATATTAACTTTGATCCGCATTTTGCTCCATTTGGAAGTCGTTGTTCTCAAAATCCCATATTAGAGCTCGTCATCCTAGCAACATCCTAGCCCCTACGAATTAAGCTGCCGCCAACCACTCAGTCAGACAGGGCAAACTCTTTCTTATATATAGATATATAGAGTATTCTATCTTCGACAACACACACCTTTGTCTTATTTCCTGGTTGTTTTTTCTTTTCTCTGGCTTGACAAGTGTGCTAAATTTGAGCAGGCCAAAAGGCTACGTCGTCTGGTGTCGTCGTCCTCGTCGTCGTCTGCCGCTGCGGCTGCTGCCCTTCGATTGATAAAATATATATGCGTTAGGGTGGTCGGCCCGGTTTATATAGAGACATTTATTGATAGATAGCAAACGCAACGCTTGAACCCTTTTACATTTGATGAACGTATCGAATTCCCCATATTGCCAAAAGCGGCAAAATTTATGGCTGTTTGATTTATTTTAACTTTTAACACGCCCCAAACAAATGCTGCCAATGAGGCGCACAGAATTCTGAAATCTGCCGTGAGGAGAATATGGTGGGCGGATAGGCGTGTCGAATTTTACTGGGCAGTAAGACTTGGGTGGTATTGACTATGTTTTGATTCCAAGCGTAGGATTTAATACTCTGAACTTAGCGCTACAAATCTTTACAGAGCTTTTTGGCTTGCCTGAAACTAAGAGTGAAAGCCGAGAAACGCAGATGATTGGAATATTTATGTGCATATAATTGAATCTTGAAATGGATTCAACAATTTATAGGATAATAAGGAAAGTATTTATTGTTATTTAAATGTTGGCTATGAATGGGGCAAATGAAGACAGTTTGTATGTGGAGCATTATTTTATAGTCAGTAAAAATTCGATAGAAATATATGCAGAATCAACTCAAATATATTTTTAGGCTAATGGATTGTATCTAACAAGTCCAATTATATTATATATAGTGTAAACAAAGTTTCTAATATAAATTGATTGTAAACAAATATTATATAAAACAATTAAGAGTGCTTTAGTTGGGCCTACTCGACTAGGGGATACGCTAAACCATCTTTTATTAACACCAAATGCAGCTCGCACTACAAGCTCCATCCTCTTTTCTCAATAGCAATAAAATGAAAGATTCTTGATATGTACATATGTGCTATTCTAGAAGCCATTTGTCAAATTGCTCAAAAAACAGAACTTCGATATCGATTTTTATCGTTTGCTTGGAAACGGGGCAAGTTATCGATGATTGGGAACAAACTCGTACTGCGCGGACTTTAGGAGGACCTACATACGCACAGATAGATGGACAGACGAACGAGCAGACAGACAGACGGACATGAAGCTGATGCCTTTTGCCTTTTACAAACAATTGCCCAAAAACATTATACCCTTTTTACACATTTCACTGGATTCAGGGTGTACAAATATACAAATGTTATTTAAAAAATGAAATAATAATTTTCAAGCAATTAATATTTAAAGTAAAGTTGCAGCTGGCAACTTTTATTCTGTGATACAATAAACCAACGCAAACTTACTTATGTATAATTTTACCTGGGAACAAATTTATGGGCAGAACAATATAGTAAATTATTTAAAATTCTCGGCGGATCTATGCAAATTCAGATCATTTCTTTTTCACATCATTCAAACTTTTCTGCCAGCTTCTTTATTATTCGTGTGTATTATTTAAATCTATAGAAAATCAACAGCACCTGCTCATCACATGTATTTTATATTGGTTTTTTTTTCGCATAATTATGCTGTTTACCTTAAATCATTCAATTGTGAGCATGGCGAGCCATAAACCGCACTTAACCCTCCCCCGCAAAGGTACTCTGAAAGCCAACTCCTCACCTTGTCATTTGCCGTGGCTGTTGCTGTTGCCGTCTACCCCAATCAGAAAACTCCGCATCCATTTGCGTATTACGCTTCATTATGCAGATTTCTTGCCGTTCAACATTTTCTCTCTCATATATATATATATTTTTTTTTTTTCTTATTTGTTATTGTTGCATGGCTTGCGGCTTGGAAAAATATTTTTATTTAATTTATTTATGAATGAAATGTGGTGTGGGGCTGGGTAGTGGTACGACAGCCTGGTAGGCTGGCAATAAAAGCAATTGCCACACACACACACACACACACCCGGAGCCCCACCCCTGGGCGCCTACCGCATTGTCACATAGATAAGCCGCGTCTGGCTTAACTCATAAAAAAGTGCCAGCAAAAGGATGATAAAACAACAACAGGAGCAGCGACAACAGCAACAGGGCGAGGCACAGGGTCGGGCAAAAGCAAAAATCTGAACGCGTGCGGATTTAAATTTTCAACAAAAATAAGCAACAAATAAGTGTTAAACGAGAGCGACTAACAGATGCCCTGTAGCCAATGCAAACATAAATAATCCTATTAAAAACCAAGGCGCTTTTCTGGCAACCAGTGAGAGATACGAAAAACCATCACATCAAATACATTTGCATAAGATACAGAAAACCTTTACACCAAATTTGCTTATTTTAGCTCTGACAGGCTACGAGTTCGTTGGGACTGGACCCAGTCATTAATGTACAGGGTATAATAGATAGACATAAAAAGACGAGCGCGTCTCGAGTTTGGGCGTGCATTTCACAGCCATGATGGGAAATAACTGGAGTATGAAACGCCTCACACATGACTCCACAGAAAATATACTCGTATTTCCAAATGGTTTTGGTTCAATATATGTATATAAGTATATGTAATGACAATAATCAAAAATTCTCAGGCTACCCATTTGGGCTTTGTAATTTGCCGCGCGCCACAAAGAATCCGAGACTCTGGACGAGTGAGAAATGAATTTAAAAACAATTTGCGGTCGGGCAAACAACAAAATACAAAAGCAGCCCATGAGGTAAAACCGCAAAGACAACAATTAAGCGTTACAAATGATTATGAATAACCATTTTTTGTTCATTCCCTCCTAACTCTTCATCTCTCTGCACAAAATATTTTATGTAGTTCTCGTTCTGGCACCTCTTTGGCAGCTCTGCCCTGAGAAACGGAACAGAATTGTACTCGTAATGGAATTTATGCCGCTGGGCTATTTAAACTCGTACTTCCCTTTGTGAGCTAATGTATGCCTTGATCTTCAACGAGCTCAGCGAGACTCATTTGTTACAGGTTTTATGAATGAACACGTCGAGATGACGAAGAGTTCTGCTAAGCCTTATAGAAAGTACAAAGTACATTCACATGTACGATTTTCTAAATATTAAAGAAATGGGAATCTATATATTTCTCACATACTAATTTTAAAATTTTTCATAATTAACAAATCTTTACATCATATATTTAATTTCTATCATGATATATATAACCAAATTTAAAAAACTTTCAATATTCAATTACGTTAAATATTACAATAATGCCTTCCAATACTTATGTAAATTAAGGTGCATTTAATACGCCTATATTTAAAGTGAAATTCATTTAAAATATCACAGAAACAAAAGAGTTTCGACCAAAATAAATTTGTTCTGTAGCATAAATATACTATATATACTTTAATGCGTGTGTCAGACCTACTAACGAATTGGTGATCTTGTCAGGAACTGCCCGGCTAGCTCAGTCGGTAGAGCATGAGACTCTTAATCTCAGGGTCGTGGGTTCGAGCCCCACGTTGGGCGAAACGAAATTTTTTGGGTTTTTATTATTTTAATTATAAAAATGATTTGCACAGT